CCAACTAAAATCTAACTGCAATACCACTATTTGGCTGAGATATTGACTGATATCTGTCGTGAAATCGTTTACCGATAGGTTACCAACCTATATCACTCGACAACAGACTATACTACAACAAAAAATCCATAAAAAATTATACAAAAATTATACACATTTGCAAAAAAACTAAAGAATCAAATCACAACTAAACAAAAAAATTTACCAAAAAAAAACACAACATAATCCAAAATAATTGCAAAATCTCCACAAAATTCAAAAGAAATGAAAAATATCACAAAAACATCATCCAATCTCCAGAACACATCAGATCCACGACGGAGTAGCGTGGAGAAAAAGTCTGATATGGTGGGGGAGAATGTGCGAGATCGAGTATGAGATGGTGAAAAGCTTTGATCGAACATATGGTGCAATTTTATGTAAATTCATCGAGACGTTGTAGCGATCTCTGGCTAGATCCCCCTCGTACTCTTGCTCTGGTTTCACTGCATCGGCGTCGCAGATCTCCTCCCAGTGGTGGGAAGAGAGAAAAGAGAAGGTTGGAGATCGCAACGAGAATCCAACGATGAGATGAGAGAGAACTATTAGGCAAAGTGTGAGAGAGAGAGAGGGGAAAAGGATAGAGAAAACCCTAACTTAATTGAGCGTATTTTTGTTATGTAATATGGTAGAAAAATTGAATGGTTTTGTCTAAGACCGGCAATATGGGTCACGATATGACAATATGACTCGAAAACGATACGAATTTTACGGGTTAGGGTTGAGAAAAAAGAGGTTTGGGTCAGAATTTGGTCGACCTGAAATTGACACGAAAAATATGGGTCAATTTCATGTTGGACCCGCATAACCCGAACACGACACGAAACTTGTAAAAAACTAAAAAATACATATATTTTTCATTACATATTTTAAATTTTATTATGAACTTGTGATATCATGATAGTTATACTCAAAATCTTATACTATTATTTGCTTAATTTCAATGGATGTTTTTGTAATATAGTGTGTTATGAATTTTAAGTTATTTCTAATATGTAAAAAACTAAATAAAAGTATACAATTTTTGTGTTAATTTCGTGTCACGGGTCATTTTCGGGCCGTGTCGTGTCAACTCGTAAAGTGGTCGTGTCGTGTTCGTGTTGCGGTTTTTAAAAAATTTCGTTTCACGGGTCGTGTTCAGATTGACTGCAAGTTTTAAAAAAATAATTAAAATACGACACGTAACACGAATTACCATCCCTAATTTTGTCCCTATGGCATAACTCAATCTTCAACTGAAAAGCTTAGCATCCCCTTTAGTTATCTCGATAATAAGAGAAAGTATGAGTTGGCTACTGGCTATCACCCTCTCTTTCCC